GTCCTGACTGCGTTTAACGGGTCCTGACTGTGCGTTTAACGAGTCCAGACTGCGCGTTTAACGAGTCCTGACTGCGCGTTTAACGAGTCCTGACTGTGCGTTTAACGAGTCCTGTCTGTGCGTTTAACGAGTCCTGTCTGTGCGTTTAACGAGTCCTGTCTGTGCGTTTAACGAGTCCTGACTGTGCGTTTAACGAGTCCTGACTGTGCGTTTAACGAGTCCTGTCTGTGCGTTTAACGAGTCCTGTCTGTGCGTTTAACGAGTCCTGACTGCGCGTTTAACGAGTCCTGACTGCGCGTTTAACGGGTCCTGACTGCGTTTAACGGGTCCTGACTGCGTTTAACGGGTCCTGACTGTGCGGTTAACGGGTCCTGACTGTGCGTTTAACGAGTCCTGACTGTGCGTTTAACGGGTCCTGACTGTGCGTTTAACGGGTCCTGACTGTGCGTTTAACGAGTCCTGACTGTGCGTTTAACGGGTCCTGACTGTGCGTTTAACGAGTCCTGACTGTGCGTTTAAAGAGACCTGTCTGTGCGTTTAAAGAGTCCTGACTGTGCGTTTAACGAGTCCTGACTGTGCGTTTAACGAGTCCTGACTGTGCGTTTAACGAGTCCTGACTGTGCGTTTAATGAGTCCTGACTGCGTTTAACGAGTCNCTGTGCGTTTAACGAGTCCTGACTGTGCGTTTAACGAGTCCTGACTGTGCGTTTAACGAGTCCTGACTGCAGAGATGGATGGGGAGCGGGGGCAGAGGTGTGACTGAACCAAGGAAGAAACATGCCATTGTTTACTTGCTTGGAGCTCCTCTTGTGTTTGGGGCTTAACTGGCCCAAAAGAAGAAAATAAACTTTCCACACAGGAGTCCAGGGACAGAGAGACAAAAGTAACACGTGAACAAYGGCAACAAAGACACACAACATTCAGCTCGACTGCTTCCTGTTCCACAGTTACCTCTCTTCCTCTGAGAGAAGGCCAAGTCCAAGTCCACGTTCCTGCGCCCACTCTGGAGAACAGAGGAGAGGACGAAGCTTTAAAATAAAAACACAGTAAAACCCTAACAATGTCGGAGGGTTAGGTGTTTGTGTTACAACAGAGTCGGAGGGTGAGGTGTTTGTGTTACAACAGAGTCGGAGGGTGAGGTGTTACCAGGCTGTAGCTCTCTTCGTCTGACTCGGGCTGAGACAGGTCAGACTCGCTCCTGGACTTCATCAGTCTGTAGCTGGGGCTGCTCTGCACCGAGCGGCTCTCTGCACTCAGACTTTCACTCCTGGGAACACAGAAAACACACAACGTCCACACATCAACACAAGACTTACAGCAGACAGCACAGCTCCTTCAAACAGACCGGAGGCTGAAACATCTGCAGCTCAGCCCTGTGCTCACTCTGCATCAGGTGGAACACTGCAGAGAAACAGCAACACTAACACACGTCCTAAAAGCACTAAATTATTTCAGTTCAACTCACTGTAAGTTTATATTAAGTTTAAAGTTGTGTGTGAGCGCTGCTCGTGAGATATTACATCAGGTCTCCAGATAAAACTCATCCTCTGTGATAAACAGAGGATGAGTTTTATGATCGTGAGAATAAACAGGTTTATCACAGAGGATGAGTTTTATCTGGAGACCTGATGTAATAAATAAATTACTCCCAGAGTAACACAGGATAACTGAAGCCTGAGATTTTACTGAAACTCACAGACATCCTTCAGATGAGATATTAAAGCCTGCTGGAGGCTGTGCACCACTCACTGGATYAGTATTATCATAGGACCTCAGAGTTCAGTTAAATATAGCAGGTATAATCTGAGAGGGAATTTTTACTTTACAAATTACTGACCTGGCTGATTCACATGAGATTAACAACACAGATAATCTCTGCAGTTATTACAAACAGCATGTGGTCCCAAAGTAAAACTAATCCTGTCAGAATAATCCTATTAAATGAAAACGCACAGAAACATTAATATTTAACCTAATTTTTTGAGCTTAAAAAGCATAAAAAAATCTAATGATCATATTATGAGGCACCACTCATTTCAGAGGGATTTTCAGCCTCTCTCTCTTTTTACTCTCTTTCATCTGTGACTGGTGAACAGTCAGAGGGAGCAGATGACTGGTCACAGAGCTGAAATTATTTAGATTTTCAATGTTTTGATTTTATATCTTTCAAATATTCTTGATTGTTTTCATGGTCTTCTGTGTTTGTGTTTGTTTTGAGTGCAGCATTTTGATCTACAMGTTGTTTTTCAGTGTGCTTTAAATAAATCTGATTTGAGAATCTGAAAAGAAATGTTTCTGTAAGAGAACTGATTCTGTTAAAAAGATGTTCTAAACCAGTGTTTCCCAAAGTTGGGGTCGGGACCCAAAGTGGGGTCCCGAAACATCAAGTTGGGGTTCTGAAAAGATTTTCTGAATTAATTACATTTTTGCCTTAGTTGTTACAAAGGAGTGAGGTTAGTATAAATGGATAAATGTAGTATAAAAATATTGTTACTATGCCCATGTTT